TCTTCTACCATATGAGATACATATCATGTGAAGAACCATTAAGAGGGTTCTACATGTTATAAGTATGGATTAATGGGTTGGAAAGTGATTCCATGTCCAAGAACGGGCTTAGAAGCCAAAACGACCGGTTCACCGGAAAATAACTTTTTTGAGGTTATTTGTATTAATATGGGTGTTATGATTATAAAACTTTGTTAGGCACTTGTAAAGGGTATTTCAAGTGATTTCACAAAGTTGGAAAGGTCGCCGGAGTTGTCGCCGGAGTTTCACCGGAGTTCAACCAAGAGGGGTAGAACTTCATAACACTAGTTCAAGGTGAGTGGACGGCTTAATATCTTATAACTTTTGGGTTAATTATGAGATTACCTAAATAAATGTTATATGTGTTCATAATAATGTTTAAAAGATATTTAAACATGTGATTAGCCAACATTATTAAGTTGTATGAAAAGAATTTATTGTTTATGCACGAAATAAGATATGAGGAGTTATATAAAATGCATATTAGCTTGAAGTGTAAAAGAAGCACAAATGAGTATTATTAACTTAATTATATGATGATTAAGTTGATATGTACAAGGCTTGAATTGGCGGTCAACGACAACGTTGACCGATGGATAATGGATTAATTAATATCGATTGGTATTAATTAATTATACATTTACATAATTGCATGGCTTTGCATGGAATGTGATACATAAGTTTTATGTGTTGAATTAGTTATGAATGATCAAATATGATATAGACCCTATCTAGTGTGATATGTGGTAAGTCATAGGTCGGGTGGAGTACCCAAGGATCGGGCGGTTATCCTCAAAACTCGGTTATATAGGGTGGAGTACCCAAGGATCGGGCGGTTATCCTCAAAACTCGGTTATATAGGGTGGAGTACCCAAGGATCGGGCGGTTATCCTCAAAACTCGGTTATATAGGGTGGAGTACCCAAGGATCGGGCGGTTATCCTCAAAACTCGGTTATATAGGGTGGAGTACCCAAGGATCGGGCGGTTATCCTCAAAACTCGGTTATATAGGGTGGAGTACCCAAGGATCGGGCGGTTATCCTCAAAACTCGGTTATATAGGGTGGAGTACCCAAGGATCGGGCGGTTATCCTCAAAACTCGGTTATATAGGGTGGAGTACCCAAGGATCGGGCGGTTATCCTCAAAACTCGGTTATATAGGGTGGAGTACCCAAGGATCGGGCGGTTATCCTCAAAACTCGGTTATAGGGTGGAGTACCCAAGGATCGGGTGTGTATCCTCAAAACTCATAGATTACATATAATGATCTAGGACCGGGCGGTGTCCTTATGATAATTTACTTGAACAAGGAGGAGTTCTATACACTCATAGGCATATGGGTGGGTTGGGGTTTTTAGTCAAGAATATTGACTATTACTATTTTTCCCAAATAAAATGGTGATCTACGGATCGGATATTTTCCAAGTATATATGTATATACTAATAAGTATTTCATAACTTGGGGGAAAGACTATTTATTTAAGTATCACCCTATGTTTGGGTCTTATACTTGAAACGCTAGTTATTCTATATTTAGCCTGCTACTCGCTCGGTACTTGTACTGACCCCTTCGGGGGGCCCCACCATTTTCAGGTTGAAGCTAGGGCTTGCTACTTGCACCTTCTCACGGGTGATATCATATCGGGAAGACGTGGTTCGTGCTTCCTTATTTTCTTTCAAACTACCAAACACTTGCTCATGGATATTTGTTTTACTATAAACTATTTTTGGGGCTTGCATGCCCATGTTGTTGGCCGGTTGTGGCTCATGACTTACCGTTGAATATTTCCGCTATTCATTGGTTTAAATGTGATGTTGTTATGTATGTTTACTACTGAGTATGGATGGATTGTTTTCTCGAACGCCTTGTGTAACTAAGTGAGGTTGACTCGTGGGTGACATCACTTAGTTATACGGCGGTTGTACACGCGCTTGGATTGCGGTCTGGGGCGTGACAACGTCATTATAGACTGCACATAGTGAGTTAGTGACCATGGACACAAGAGAATAAAAGATCATACATGACGCTGACCATCTACGCAAGACACCAAAAGGCCGTGCATGGAGACCATTGACGCACACGAGTAACCCCCTGGATGCCATGATGAGATTAACCAAGAGCATAAACGTGACAGCCATGGACCATAATAGTAGAAGTATATCTAAATAACATGTACATGGCGGCCTTGAACATAGTGGCAGAAGCTTGTAAAGGGAATACGTGTACAGAGTGACTCTAGATGGACAAGCTACATTTGAGACATTTTTTCAGATATTCACATAGTCAATAACAAATCCCACAAATCAGAGGATAGTGATATGTGTGTCAACTCAGGCACGGGAACCACATCGTTTGAATAATTATGTCTCATTTTGTACTATGGATAGATTTAATTCTTTAAAGAAATGATCAAACTCAATATACCAAATATATTTATCTCTCTAAAAATTCTCATTAATACTTTCACTTATTTTCATTCATCTCCTAATTATTTTTCAGTAGTTTTAGTTCCGCTTTCATTATTGAGAGGCTAAAAATACACCCATGCAATCTCAAAAATTGTAACAATATCTCAAGCTCACACCACGTCAAACTATACTAGATCGTCAATGCATCAAGTTTGGGTAGAACTTCTTACACTATGCATTTCCTAGACCTTAAATCCATCCTCAGCCACATGGAAGTCAGGCCTTAACTCGTCACCATTGAGTGGAGATATATGTAGCATCCTCATCGCAATCTTCAAAAGGAGGAGATATGAAAGAGGGACGACATGTCATTATCCCATCAAACCAATCATCTCAGAATGAGGCCTGTGTATTCAGTAGGTTGGGGGAGCGACAACGCTCTGCTCGAGACCGCCTGGGATGGCCAAACCAAATTTAATGAGAGAACATGCAAATCATCGAGGACAAGAACATGACAACATAATGAAGGAGAGCATGTCCATGCTGCCAAAATCACTCGCGTGGCAACATGCCACCATTCAAGTAAATCCAAAATGGTCTTAATGGTGCTGAAGTGAGGAAGCTATGAGAAAAGATTGAATACTTACAAAAGTCGAGTGTGTATCGGTGAGGAACACAATGAAGCCAAGATGAAAACAATGACCCCATGAATCATACATACTCCCTACCAGGTAGCTTTAAAGCACCCCATATCAAAGCCCATGGAGGAACGTCAGACCCAATGGCTCCATTGATTATTGGAAAGACTTAACACAAAGATTCCTTCAACACTTTGCTGCAAGCATGAGGGGGAAACAACACTACTTACATCTCCCTATCGTTAAGCACAAGAAGAATGAAGACCCAAAAAAAATTATAATACGGGGAGGAAGGACTCCTCGATCGTACATGGGGCAAATGACCAAACCCGACATGTCATATTACAGGCAATATTGCGAGTCGGGGGTTGCTTCAAGTCTCACCTATGATCCACCAATGTCATATCAAGCGGCCTTCCAAAGAACCAACCATCACGCGGGTGAAAAAAGTCAACGGTGTAACAGAAGAAGGACGAGTCATTGGATATTCGGAGATAACTCTAGCAATAGCCAACAAAAGGGGGGAAAAGCTAGAGGGATTTCAACTACTGTCAGAGGCTACCTCCTAACAAAAACTTGACATCGTTAACACATCATGTGAGCAAAATCATTTACTATTTCGAGCATAGAAGCTAGTAAAAGTTCTAATGCACGAGGTCTATATCTTCATGTAAAAAGTAATATCGCTATCATCGAGCAGATTAGGTCATTTTTTGATTGAATAAATAAATTATATGAGTACTTTGAAAGTTTGAATTGAGTCATATATAGACATGACTTAATGATTATATAGACATGACTTAATGATTCAACAATTAAATCAATACGCTCATTAAGTTGTAAATCAAAAGTAAACAATCCCTTCGTGTTCCATTAAGGAGGAGATTAAATCAAGATCCACGATTAGGATCTAATAACTCCAGATATATAGAATTAAAATCACACTTTCATAATACTACGTATATGTAACTGATCAATTGTGAGCTTTCTTGCAATAATGCTTTCAAAATATTTACTTCAATCACGTGGTTACTTGTTTTCAAGGCAGAATTGAATACTGTAGAGGTCTCTATACACAAATAGGTAGTGGTGGATTCGGGCCGGGTGGCCCGACCCGGAACCGGACCCGGCCAGGTACTGTTAGGCCCGGCACGACCCGGTGGCCCGGCCAGGGACCGGTCCGGGTAGGCCCGGCCCGGGGGTTTTCCGGTGCGGGCTCGGGTCTGGAAAATAAGGAATCGGCCGGGCCGAGCCCGGTTCGGGCCATAATTTTTTTTTCCCCCATTTTTTTTGAATTCCCGGGTTGGGCTGGGTATTTTGGACCATTTGGGGTGGTTTAGGGGGTTGGGGGTGAGTAGAAAAAGGAAAAAAAAATAGAATCTAGCCCGAGGCCTGACCCGGGGGTTACTCGGGCCGATTCCGGGCCTACCTCCCAACTTCTAAAGCCCGGGGAGAAGTACGACCGGGCCTAGGCCCGGCCCGGGTCCATCACTACAAATAGGCATGGACCCGGGTCGGGCCTAGGCCCGTCCGGATCTGGATGGTTGTGGTTTAAGCCCAGGACCAGCCCAATTGTCTACCGGAGTACCGGTTCCGGATCGGGCCGGGCCAGTTCCATTTTTTGTTTTCTTATTTATTTCATCCCCACCCCCTCCCCCAAACCCATCAGAAACACCCAGCCCATCTAAACCCAGCCCAAACCCAAAAAAAATTAAAAATAAAAAATAAAAAGGCCCGAACCGGGCCCGGCCCGGCCGGTTCACATTTCACCTATCCCGGAACCTGCCCCGGTTACACCCTATAACCGGGTTACCGGGCCTAGACCCGGAACCGGTACCCGGTTCCCGGGCCGGGCCCGTACAGTACCGGGCCGGTTCCCGGTGGCCCGAACCGAGTCCAAGCCTATACACAAACATACACATGCCAAAGTTATTTTGTGTCTTTAAATTTTATAAAATAGTCTTTTCAAAAAAAAAAAAAGTATAGGAAAACCCACATCCCGCGTAATACACTAGTGGCCTAATAGAAAATACTCCCGTAAGATGAACATAAGAGGATCAGAGAGACTAGAGAGCACCCTTTTAATATTAGAAACACTCTTTGGAGAAATGATAATACCAGTTTTCTGCTCACCCTTGAGTTCTTAAGTTCAAGGCATTTGAACAGAATACGCACATGTCACACAAGAGCTAATGAGGATTTACAAATGTGTCTTCAAATTAATTTACAAAGTCTGCAGCTTTTCAACTGCTGGCGAATTTAGGAGGAGCCGAAGGTGTTTTCTCCACTGTAAGTCATGTAGAGGAAGCCATCCTCATCCTTGTTTTCCTCATATATTGCAGACATCATAGCAGCTGCAAGTATTTGAAAAATAAAGCATTATAACAAATAAGATTTCTGTTGTTGAACACTAATCTCAAAATGGGCGAGAAATTTGCACTGACCAGTAGGAGGAAGGATGTTCTTAACAAAGATAAAAATGGCTTTCTCAGCACTTAGCTTTATCCTCTTTCGGACAACATAGACAAATTGCCCAACAGTCAGATCAGCAGGGACAAGATACCTGCAAAACATATTCAACACTATTAGAAGGTTGCTTCACATTAAGATAGAAGCCAAATGATCTCACATGATAGACAGACCATTATTTCATGAAGTCAGTATAGCAGAAGTACTCTGCAACCACTAACGAGAATAATATGAATCAGTAACGAAGTTTCCATGCAAAACACTATATGTCAAGCGTTCAGGGTCTATTTGTATAGAATGTCTTTTGATAGTAGAGGACAATGAATCGGTTTGAATCTGATTATAACCCATAACTAAATACTTTTGTATTTTTTAGCTTAATGGTGTGAATATCATTTTTAGAACATGCAAATAATTCTTTCGTTGTGTGTCAATCTAAATGGAATATGAATGTGGATCAAAACAACAAGGTGACAAAATTTGAGATATTTAGATAAAGATCTGATTCCGAACCGGATCCAAGGACACAAAAGGTAGGCCCTCTGAGTCTCGGGTTGGGATCAGAGTTAGTTTTCAAACAAGTACAGGTCTTAATTTGTTGATGCCAATCTAGAAATGACCATTTCACACAGCTAATATGATCACCTACAATCTTATTCTTTAATTTTTGTAAAAAAAAAATCAAGACATAGATTTAGACCTCCAGGCCCAGCCACCCCAAAACCAACCAAAACCTCCATTCAAGATTGCCAATTTAGACAAAATAATACAGTACAAAATGAAGTGTAAGCAATTAGCTTGTGAAAAACCAAAGCCATAGCATGTCCTCATGCATAGAGGAGCTCACTTCTTTTTGTCAATGTCGGGAATGTCACTTCTTTCAGCCTTCTCCACAATGACCTGTATAAAAAAAGTGGTAAACATATTCGTTAAATTGAGCGAAGAGCAAATAAAATACTCCGTATATGTATAAATACATACATACACACACACACACAAAAGAATCATTAAACTGTAAGAGTTGAAATTCATTACAGGAATTCTATCGGGATACTTCTCTCTGATGCGAGATGCTTCTGCCTGACGCCTCTCTGAATTTTGAAAAACAAAACTAAGTAACAAATACATGTAACTGTCAAACTATAAACTGTATGTACATATTTTAATTAATTAATATATCAACTAGAGCCATCAACTAACATGGCATCCCCAATTGGACACAGTTACTACAAGGCATCCCCAATTGGACACAGTTACTATAAGGCATCCCCAATTGGACACAGTTACTATAAGGCATCCTCAATTGGACGAAGTTAACAAATAACTGGCAAGCAGGAAAATTTTTGTATATCTGCGTAAACTCTACTCAATCATGCTTACACATAGAAAGTTGGCAGCTTGCCAAAAAACTGTACACTTTTTAGGATGACCTATATGGTAGAATCATAGTGGGTACTCAAGTGAAATATATGAAGTCATGGATAAGCTGAAAACAAGAATTCAAACATCAACCTTATAATAGTGAGGGTGAAAATCATAGAACAAAAATCAGTAAACAAATAAGGAGTAGATAAATTCCAACTCGCTCAAGGCACAGATATACCGATTCCCAAGAAAAACAAGTTAACGATCAGATTAAGCGGCCAACGATTAAAATTAATACGCCAGATGCAGACATATCAGAAACATAGTTTATGGGTGGATAGTTCACGGATATTGGAATAAGAGATACCGAGCGGGTGCTCCAACTTGAAGGAACTCTTAGCCATGGCGATCGACAAAAAAACCGAGCTGCAAAGATGGGAATTATTTTAGGGTTTTTAAAACAGAGAAAATAAAAGTTGGGGAATAATAATTGGAAACCCAATCCCAAAGAAAGGTACAGAAAGAGAAGGAAAGCAAGAAATTACCAAAGCAGGAGAGAGACGCTCCGTTGATCCAACGAAGCACGAAAATCAATGAATGAGCAAAGCGACGATCACACGTTGCTTTGACCTGGTAGGCCTTCGCTCTATTTATCCGTTTTCCGGAACTGCTTTTAAAAAAACACTTCTCATCTTTTGTCTTTAAAAAAGCACTTATTTTCCCAAACATTACAACTTTTATTTTTCTCGGCTTCCGCGTCAGAAGTGCTTTCATCCATTCGGTAGGAATTTAGTACTTGTACGGGATTGGACTGGGCTGGGTATATCGGAATATTATGGAAAATATGTTGGATAATTATTACTCTTTTGTACCAAAAAGTAAAGATCCTGTGTACTCTCAAATTGTTTGTAGAAAAAAATTATTCCGTATAAGCTTTTCAAAGTCGCCAAAATCAGAATCAAATTTGATAAAATTTTGATATATAAAATAAGAGATTAACAATGATTTGTATTGACTAATTAAATAAGAAACACAATCATCAAATTGGGACACATCAATGATGTAGTACATCTCCATTCTTTCAAAAGTCATTATTAATAAACTTATAAAAGGAATGTGCTCAAGACTTAAGTGGTTAAAATAAGTGTAAAATATAGAGAGTAAACAAAATTTGGGATTATGACTAGAACATTTATACTTCAACATATGACTTGTTTAATTCTATTAAAATAATAAAATAATGAAAACTTTATTCAAAGTATAAGTGAAAGATTGATGAATATAATAATTAATTACTCATTAACCATACTGTCCAACCTTGGAAAATCGAACACCCTTACTCAAGATAATAGTTTGAAAAATGATTGAGAGTAATAATCATCCTCTTTTATTGATAATTGAGAATAAAAGTGCAATGCAAGTAAAGAGAAAACAATACAAGAAAAGTAAAGGAACCAAAAGAGAGAGAAAAGACGCGACACTAAAGAACCCAACAAATTAGTGCAGTGCGTGCGCAGTTTTGGATCTGTTGCGAGTGCTTCTCCTCTTCCAAATAGTAGCGATTTTGGTCTCAGTCAACCGATCCAATAATTCTTGTTATGATGGAATTGATCTTGAAGGGGTGTCGAAGTCATCATATGGGATATCTGATTCCTTAGGGTGTGAAGGATCCTCCTTGGACATTTACGAGGAAGAGTTTTTATGGGCTTGAAATTGAGACGATTCTAGATCCTCGTCATCAAAACCACAACTATTCTGTCATTTGTTGATGCCCACTGACAAGATATCTCAGTGATTTTTTTATATGGATGAATCTGACTCATCTGTTATCTGGTGTGCTAAAAATGTCGGATCCTCTTGCACAAAATTAGTTAGTCCAATAAAAATCTGCAAAATTTGAAAAAGTGGTCCGGAGGTCAATCAGGCTGGAATTCTGTGGATCCATAGGAATATTGATGGAGCTCCCCTTACCTTTGGCAATTTGCATGTAGTATCTTGATCAATTCATTTCTAAAGAAACATTAATGAAGCCAAAATCGCCTTTTCTGCTTAAAAATAATTGGTTCAGTGTTTGTGAGTTGGGAGATGAATCGAATGATTTGAGGGGCTAGGTTAGTTTGGAAATTGATCTTTTGCAGCACAGATTTATTGAATTCAAAAATGATCATTTCGATGTTTCTGACGACGAATTTAAAGTGGATTCTCCTACATACGAACTTATCGAGATCTGAAATATCTTCGATTTGATATATTATGGCCTCCGTAACTCATTATGAGTAAAAAATTATGCTTTCTGGAAAATCAACACTATATAAACGTAAAATCACCAAAATGTGATGCGTAATATTGTTTATTTTCCCAAATTTTAAAAATAACGTATAATTAACTCATTACTTACGTGACATGATTCATAAACAGAACAAAGACAATATATCATATTGCTACGAGTGCCTATTTATCTAAACTACAAATGAAACATTCAACTCGAACATTGTCTAAAAACGATCTACCATATTCGTTTTGCACATAGTTGATTTTTGACCCCCCTGAGCCATTTTTTTGGCTCCGCCACTGCTCCCATGGCTTCTTGCGATCAATGAAACCGCGTCAACGGACCTTCATGGTTCTCCGTACAACCTTTGAACAACTCCAACCAAATCGGAAGGAACTCCCTGAATACTGCTCGGATGAGAGGATGAAGAAGGTCTTCGTTTTCGGCCCGTCTCAAGCCCGGTAAAACAGAGACTTTGTCGCCGATCTCTCCTGTTTGTTGTGGCCAAAACAATTGATTCCCGTTGTGTAAAGTCGTTGCCTTCCCCCGCCTGATATGACGTTGAAGTCTTTCGTCAAAATTGCGTCGAAGAAGACCTCCGCGTACCAAAACTAACCCTAGACCTGCTAGGCTCTTCTACGGTTTTTTATTTTGCAACATTAAAAAAAGCAATGGCCTTATAAATCCATATGCTTTTTTATGAATGAATTCTATTGACCTTTAAATCCACAGATAAGTTTATAGAATTTCAAAAAGTTCATGGACTTTTAAATCCAGACCGCCATTGTCGGCCGTCAAAATTTTCACCTAGATCGCCGCTACCGACCTGCCTGTCCATCTCTGTCACTGGAGTTCGCCGCCGTCATCATCGGATTGATCCACCACCAACTAAATGTCTTTGGTTATATAAGGAGATCTGGTGAATTATTTAAATTAGGGTTAGAAATGTAATATTTAGTCATATTTAAGGAAAACCAAACATATGATCATACTTTGAGAAAAATGTTACTCCCTCCGACCCCCTTATATTGTCCTGTTTTACCTTTTCGGGAAATCCCACTAAAATTGTCTCATACCATATTTGGTAAAGTTTGTGTGGCTCTAAATTAATCTTTCCTACTTTATTCTAACTTTATCAGTTAATATCAACCACACAAACCTACTTTTCTTAATAATCGTGCCACCCCCTTTCGTACCAATATAAAAGGGACGGAGGTAGTACATTTTAGTCTCACCGTGAATAATTTCCTCTGTATAATATGATAAAAACAATTAAATAAATAAATGAAGCAAATGCAATTCATCTAGCAACGCAGAGTTCTACAAGAATAAATGAAGCATAAGAATCGAGTTTATTTTTATTAAAAAGAAAACTCAAAGTTTCGAGAATACTCTACAATCTTGACGTCTTTATGATCAATTGTTATATTATACAGCTCAATGGGTAAGAACATTAATCATTACACAAATGTTATACACATTACTACATGTGGTACAAGCATAGGTGTAATCGAGCTTTTCTTCGTAATAATTGTTTTTTATTGTTAGCTTGTTAAATTTTGTAGTCTTATTTACGGTTATATATTTATTTATTTGAAATTATATTTTTATGTGTTAGCGAATTAACAATGAAATACAATATTAGTTAAAATATTTTTTCTTAATGGTTAACTGACGACATTCCAGAATTGCGCTGATGTGATACTATCGATTCTTATATCGGTTCTTCTAAAACTTATAGAACCGAATTGATATGAGATTAACGGTTCTTCAAATTGTTCCTAATTTTCTTTCAAGAAACGAACCGATTTCACCCTTACATTTTTCTTCATAAAACGACGTATAAAATATATATATATATGTATATATGTATATATATATTTAATATTTTTTAAGTTTATCTTGTGCATCAATACTAATGTAGAATCTCCCTGTTCAACTTTATTTATCATCGTTTTAAAAAAAAAACTTTATTTATCATAAAATAATAAAAAATCAAAATTTTAATGTCCGAATCTTGCATATTGAGACCATCTTGGTACCCACCTCTCGACTCGACCGGTACTAGTTCAAGACTTGTTGGCTGATTAGTGACCCGAATAAATAATTAGCCAAATCTGCGACCACATCTATGCGTGTTTGTGAAGAGTATAAAATAACAAAACAGAGAAGTCAATAGAAGTCTTTGGTGAGGAAAAGAAACAATTGCAGAGAATTAATGTACCAAAAATGAGTTAAAAGTCCACGAGAATTCATTATTTTAGAAGTCAATAAGAATAAATGAAAATTTGAATAAACTTGAACTTGAATAGATTTTAAGAAGTCTGTTGAATACACCTGAACTTGTGAGTTTTTGCCCGGAATAATGCGAATTACATAAACAACGTAAATTACATGGTACAGCCGGCTGTACCGTGCGCACGGTACAGCCGGACTTTTAGTTCACGAATTGCAGGCTTCCATCGCAGGCTTCCGTCATCGCAGGCTTCCATGGCACCTCTCCCTTTTTCGACAACCGCAACCCTTCAGCAGCTCTCCTTCAGCTTCGTCCTTAACTTCGCATGCTCTGCTCCTTTCTTTTCCTTTTTCTATTTTTCTCACACTGATTATTTTAGTTTGGTGGTTTTTGGGTCTGGGATAACCTGTGTTGTACATAATTCTAAAGATACGAGCATACGCAAATAAAAGTTTGAGCATGGTGGTGATTTTAAATGAGCCTAAAAGAAATGAGTATACCCTTAAAAGAAATGAACTCACACAAACTAATATTGAACACATTGAAAATGAGTTTTATGTAAAATTGAAATGAGTATAACACCCAAAATGAATGAGCATACTCAAATGAGTTTTTTGAACGCTCATTTCGTAATTAATGTATACTCATTTGATGTTAGTACAATACTCTTTTTAAAATGTCATATTCATGCATATTTCAAAATGAGTTTTAAGTTAAATTCAAATGAGTATTATGCCCAAAATGAATGAACACACAAAAATGAGTTTTTAATATTTTGATACTCATTTTGTAAATTATGTATGCTCATTTGGTATTGTTTTATGCTCATTTTAAAATGATGCACATTTCAAATATAACGCCCAAAATCAATGAGCATACACAAATAAAGTTTTGAATTTTTTATATACTAATTTTATAAATTATGTATGCTCATTTTGTATGCTCATTTGGTAGTTGGTACTGCTTTATGCTCATTTTAAAATGATGCACATATCAAACATATCATACTACATTAGATTCACATATTGAAATTAATTATAAACATAATTTACGATTTTTAATTTTTACAAATGAAAAAATCATAAAAAGAAACCGAATTAGAAAATATGAAGCAGAGATCACTAGTGCTCATTGTTAGACTTTTAATACTCAGAAGAACAATGCTCATTTATGAGAAACCACAAACTTCATGAAAATTACAAAATTGACACGGGCTGTACCGCTGACATCGTACAGCCGATACGCTAAACAATTCCCAAAGATCTAAGCCACCGTCACAATTCCTAATATTTCTAACCGTTGATTTAAAAACCTCTAAGCCACCGTCACCTTAGCCACCTTGCTCACCGCCAGAACCACCACAGTAGCAGATCTGCGCATGAAGTGTAGAAGAAGACACATCTTCCTCCTTCCACCGACGTCAACGTTCAGCCGTAGACGCAATCGAGGCTGAAATTCGAGGTAGTTCTGTCTGCCATCTTGATCCCCCCCTTCCTCCACTCTCGTCCATCTCAATTCTCACGCTGCCCATGCTCCCGCCGGCGTCTGACATGTTAATACTCCGTATTTCCTGTTTCGGCATGCAGGTGTCATGTTAATAGATTTGACGAAAATGAGGTTTAGATGTAAGTAATTTCATCTTGCACCACGTTTTTCAAACTTCTTTAAGCGCTTGGCAAGTGAAAACTTTAAATAATGTTTTTTTCCCTTAAAGTATAGCCAGATAGAGTCGCTATTTCTAATATTCTTTTCACCAATCTCACCCAAGATTTATGATTTGCGATTCCGCTTTTTTTATTGCGCGTTTTGAAGCGAATCAGGGCTAGTAGTTGGAGCTAGCTGACAGTCTTACATCAATACTTATGCTCCTCGGAAAGTCTGAGGATGAAACTATATGTAGAATAGCTACTCGTACAAATCCTGCAATGGATGGTGAGAAATTCCCTGTCTACTCTGTGGTTGTGTCTTTGATCTTTGGAGTATAGCGTTCTGTCTCTCCTTGCCCCTGATCCTTTCACGTGCAGAATCAAACCAGGAGCTTATTATAGCTCAGAGTGGGATTAGTCTTTTAGCAATGGCAGCAGTTGAAGAAGAGGATCCTCAGATTCCAAGTGTGGTAGATGGTGCATTTGCAAATCTATGTGGCAATGGTATGGTTTTTAACTTTTCATGGCTCTTGATGGAATCTTCATGATTTTCACAACATTGGGTCTAAGGATGTTTTTTACTCGGACTGAATTTTTTTGGCCTGATTTGGTATGGTCTGAGCTGAGCTGGTCCGGTCTTTTAAATGTTTGGTCTCTGTGTATTTTATAAATGTCCAAGTCTGGTCTGATCAAAACAGTCCAAGTAAAAACATCCTAAGATGAATATTTGGTTTAGTGTTTAGTCATACTGGTTTATAGTTTTATTTTGTCTATTGAAATAGGATTTCCTGTTTTGATTTGTGAGTATAGGGCATTTTACTGGTTAAGAAGTTTTTGTTTTACCTTATATTTTAAAAATAGAGTGATTTCATTTAATAGATTTTGTAATTGTTTAGAGTTTCATGCACTTAATGGTTAAAGTAAGTGTTGTCATGTTGGACTACACAATTTATAATCATGTGTTGTTTAATAACTTAAAAAGTTCATAAGTTTTATTTTTGTTAATAGATATTGATAGTTAATACCCGTTGTCATGCCTGTCAGCGTGCATTTGGTTTCTTGTGTAAGTAGACATATGTAGTGGTATAATTAATAGTTATGAAATAAAAAAATCTGACTCCTAAAATTGTTACTAACTACATTTCTAATTATTTCAAGGCCATAAAACTTACTATTCTAATTATTAGTTTACTAGGATAACCTTTAAATAGGTAACAAAATTCTACATATTATGTTTTTTTAAATGATAATTAGATGCTTGTCTACGAACTCCCTACATCCCAAACCATAAGTTTACGAGACTTGACTGAAGTTAATTTGAATCCTCACATAGTAATATCAACAACAAAATTTGCATTACTAGAAATCACATTTAAAGTTCATTATACTGCATTCAACACTGATTTTCAAAATGATAAGAATTTAATATAAAAATATGAGAATGAAATAGAGACTTGAGTTGACCACACGATATTTTAAAGGACATAAAAACAAGACAAGGTTTCCAATTACGCTCACATCTAGAAGTAGAACATGTCAAACTTACTACTTGAATGGCAAACTTTTGAAGCTCGCGATACTCATTTTCGTACAATCCCAATCGCGTGATGCAATCATTCGAACGTCTTTTAACTTTAGTGTCGACTTTATAATTTGAACTATAATGCAACATAGGGTTAAAAAAGTAATCTACAATATGTAAAGGCGTATGTAGTTGTCTATTCCATCTCTCATCAGTAATATCCCACAAAGACAACTAACCAAATTAGGTAGCTTACTTTAGTACAAACAATTTAGGTACGTTTATTGGACTTTATTGAAATCGCTCTGTATGTTTTTGATGAGAGCAGAAAAATAAAATATCAACGGGGTAAACCGTTGCCCAGATAATCAACGATAAAAACCGTTGCCCAGAGCCAAAAGGCTAAAATCCAACTTTATTCCAAGATGATCAAGAATGAAGCATACAAGGGGTATAAATAACCCTCTAAGTCTAATAAGAATAGGAATCCTAATTAAATCATAATAGGAAACTAAATAGAATACGAAACCTCTAGTTCTAATGAAGTCCTAATTAAACCATTCTAGGAAAATAAATAGAAATAGGAAACCTCTAATTCTAATAAGAAAAGAAGTCCTAATTAAATCATACCAGGAAACAAAATAAATTAGGAAACAAAATAAAAGGAATAATTAAAATTAATTAAATTGCCCGCAGCCAGCCAGCCAGCCCACGAAGGTGGGCTCAAGCCCGTCCCCGCCCCTTGCTTTCCCTGCTCTCTATCAATCCATCCTCCTTCAAAATAACCTTGTCCTCTGAAATCTCGCAGAACGTGAATTGAAATTCCCAGCCATAGAATAGACCGGAAAATATCCTTCATCTCCTTCTAGACTCCCCTGGCCTTTTAGAACCTTTTCCTGGCCAGTTATTTCACAATACTCATGTTGTTGGAGGTCCAACTCCTCATCCTCCTCAGCTATCATTACTCGTAACCCCTTAAAGGGGCAGCCATGCCCCGGTGTAAATGGTTTCTTACACCTAAAGCATAATCCTTTCACCTGCAATTCTGCTAACTCTTTCGGCGGAAGTCGATGAACTGAGAGCGTGTAGTAGACTGTCCGAACAACCCTGAATTTGTCCCCGAGGGCTGCCCAATGTTTTAAGGAAAGTTGCCACTCGATCCTCTTAAGCTGCCACCACTTATGGCCGTGCTGTTACCGCCACTTGGGTGCGAAAAATTGCTCGATGCAAGTCCATGTTGTGGGGTTGACTTTCCCGGCCTCCATCTTGAAACGACAAGTTGTCCTCAATATCTCTGGCCAATTCCATTGCTATCTCTAGGCTGTTTGGCCGCAACAACCGCAAGGATCCCCGAATCGGTCCCTTCAGCCCGTTCATGAAATACCCCAAGTAATGATCATCGGAAAGCCCAGAAACCTGACTGGCCAATTGCACAAAAAGGTTATTATATTCTTCTACGATTCCCAACTGTTTGGCCCCGGACAGCCGTTCAAATCGTTTCCTTCGAACCGTGAATCAAATCGGGCCACCAATGCTTCTGTGAATTCCTCCCAGGTCATGCCTGGTTTTCGTGCCTTCAAATCGGGCAGCCCCTTCCATGGCTACCATAGTTGTTTCCACTTTCCTTCCAGGTATCGTTTGATGGATTTCGAACTGTTGCTCAGCCCTGGCCACCCACCCGATCGGGTCTTCTCCGTCGAACGCTGGCAGCAGGGTCGAAGTGACACTGCACGGCTGTCCATCGCTGCTGTGCGCAGTTATGGCGGTGATACCAACCACGTCTGAGCTCGTCTCCGTCGTGACTGGTGGAACGAGAGCCTTGGTAAGCGCTGCCAGGGAAGCAGCGATCTCCGCCAGACGAAGGCCGTGCTCCTCCAGGGTTTGATTCATCCGGGTTTGCTCAGTCCCCATTCGGGCTTGCTCAGCCCCCATGCGGGCTTGCTTGGCCTCCATCTCTGCCATGCGATCATTCTGGGATCTTGTCATTCCGGCGGGACGGGATCTGGCAAGTAGGACCAATTGATGAGAGCAGAAAAATAAAATATCAATGGGATAAACCGTTGCCACGATAAAAACCGTTGCCCAGAGCCAAAAGGCTAAAATCCAACTTTATTCCAAGATGATCAAGAATGAAGCATACAAGGGGTATAAATAACCCTCTAAGTCTAATAAGAATAGGAATCCTAATTAAATAATAATAGGAAACTAAATAGAATAGGAAACCTCTAGTTCTAATAGAAGTCCTAATTAAGCCATTCTAGGAAACTAAATACAAATAGGAAACCTCTAATTCTAATAAGAAAAGAAGTCCTAATTAAATCATACCAGGAAACAAAATAAATTAGGAAAAAAAATATAAGGAATAATTAAAATTAATTAAATTACCCACAGCCAGCCCACGAAGGTGGGCTCAAGCCCGTCCCCGCCCCTTGCTCTCCCTGCTCTCTATCAGTTTTCTTTCAATTGATCCATTGAAAGCGATGGAATTCATATATGAGGCAATGAGTCGAGCGAATTAATTAAAAAATACAAAGCTCTTTCAACGGTGTAAAAACAGGTACATGTACCTAAAAATCTAAAATACTATATTTACGTAACTTTTTGTATTAAAGTAAGTTAACTAGTTTAGTTGTAATCATTATTTAGTTACTTGCCTTTGTGGAAGATTATCGATGAGGGATGGGATATGCAATTGCATAAGCCTTTTGATGCCCATGACTACTTTCTTAATCCTCAGTTTCATTATAATCCCAATTTTAAAGCTGACATTAAAGTTAAAAGAGGTTTGTACAATTGCATCACGCGTAAGGTGGCTGATGTTAATGAGTAAGCTACGATTGATGTCTAGCATGATTATTTTAAGAAACGGACAAATCTATTTGGTACTCCCTTGGTTAGAAAGACACTTGATAAGAGGAGTCCAATAGATTGGTGGATGTCATATGGTAATGAGTATCTTGAGCTTTAAAAGTTTGTCATTCAACTATTCAAGTACTTCAAGTTCTTCTTCTGGATGTGAGCGTAATTGGAGTGTTTTTGAGATGATATATGTTATAATAATTTTAAAATAAATTTCTTGTATTATAATTAATAAATATTCATGTATTTTTATAATATGTATTTAATCAAGTCCACATAAAGAGAAGAAATCGTTTGACGTAGAAATCAATGAATGATCTTTATGGCTAATTCAAAAGCAGAAAAACGCAAGAAAGCTAGGAAATCAACTCAGCTCATAGCCTCATACATGATGATCTTTCATATGATGATGAGGGGATAATGGAAAATAATATTGGAGAGTATGAACAAGTGGTAGATGCGGTCAACTTGGTTCCTCGAGAGGCACCTCATGTTGATTTAAACGTATGTGATTTGGATGACGAAGATTAAGGTTCTTTCAAGGTTTAAAAAGGCGGGTTTGGGTATCAAGGCGATTTGTTCCTTAGAGGCGAGGCATAAGCCTCAAAATAGACATATGAAACTTAAAATAGTTAAACTAGTAACAAACAACTAAAGAAGTAAAGGATATATCCATAATTATAAGTCCAAAAAGCGTGAAACACAAACACATATTAGCTAATACCAATAAGTCGTTAGAATTCAAACACACAAAGCCACAAACAGAAACATCACACAAATAGACATATCACACACAGAAACATCACACACAAACTAAAAGATGAATAGAAAGTATACATTAGGGCACAAACTAAAAGATGAATAGAAAGTATACATTAGGGATTTAGGACTTGGGCCTTTTTTAAGTTAACGCCTCAAAAAACGCCTCAAGGCGTACGCCTCAACTTTTGAGGTGTGAGCCTCTTAACCCGGGAAAAAACCCTAAGACCCCTAAGTTTGTATGCCGCACCTTGAGGCGCGCCTCAAAACCCGCCTCTTAAGCTCCTTTTTAAACCATGGGTTCTTTAGAAGATTATGATTTTAACATGCATGTTTATGTTTTAGATGTTTAGTTATGTAGTCAGGAGTTAGAACTCTATGTGTTTGAAGTCTTAAGTGTGCTTAAAATATTTGGTATTATGTTCTAAGCATCTTACTATGGTTGTTATATATGAATTATATTTACTTTCTAATTATATGTACACATATATACATAGTGGGATGTTATGATTCTTATTTCAACTTCCGGTCCTACGTAGGATCTCGATTCTAACTACCATGGTCATGGTTTTGTTGCCTTGGATTTTGCATGAGATTTTCCTTGACTATTTTCTTCATGTGTTGGTAGTAGCGAAATTGGACCATAAGCTAAAGGTCAGTACAAATTAATTGGTAGAAATAGAATGTTCGATCCCAGGGTGGTTACCGTTAGTGTCTTGGTCATTTGAGGACTGTTATGTTATTTCTGAATGATGGTTGATGCGGGGCAGGTCACTGTGTAACAAAAAAGTGCTTCAACAATGCCATTTTTCAAGTACTGAATATATGTCACTTCCAGAATAGATTAGCGCTCTGCCAACCTGTAAACCATAATCATGTCATACAAAATGTTGCATTTGGAGTTCATGCTGGTCACTAATCTAAGAAAATTTACACTAATAGATAAGTCTTTGTCACGTTTTTTATTTTCGTTGTTGCTTTGTTACTTCTCATTACAGGTAAGACGGATAGTGACCTCACGTGTTCCCCCAGCAGAACACAATCATCCAGTTGCTTGGCCTTGACACATAAAACTAATGGTGTATGTTTTTTTGCTCATCTGTGCTGTAATCAAGTCTTTATCTATAACCTTGTTTTGCATTTTTACACTAACCAGGTAATGCATATTTGTTTTTCCAGATGTTCAAGAGAATGGTCGATAAATCATTGGTTTACAAGGACTTAAGCAATAGGAAACTTAACACCTTTACTAGACTTTATGATTCAATCCAGCTTGTCAAGTCTAAATTAGATCCTGATCAAATTGTTCTATTTAAGAATTCAGTGTTTGGGCCATTTCTCGATGCCAAGGAAATGAATTGCTGTGGCCAACTTTTACATTTCTTGCTAGGGAACCTTGTTGAGATGGAAAATTGTGAGGATGCATCACACATGTATTTTGAAATTGAGGATAGGGTTGTATCATTTTCAGTTTCCGATTTCACACTGATTCTAGGTTTCAATTGCCATGATGATGTTCCTACCGGTCAACATATTGTATCTGAGAGGGGTAATATATGGCAGAAATACTTTCCTCATTGTAAAACTAAGGTTATGAGGAGAGATATTAAGAAAGTATTTCAAGCTATTGAGAAGGGTAGTGAACATAATGATGATATAATTAAATTGTCATTACTGTTTGTGCTATCCCATTCATTCCTGTCTGCTGAAGGGGGCGTTTCTTTGAACAATGCCTATATTAACCTTGTGGATGACCTCGATAGATTTAATGCTTACCCGTGGGGAAGAGCCATTTGGAAGGACATGGTTAGTTACTTTAAGGCTGGGGTTAATAGCATGCAGTCCAATGAATCCCATTACAATGTCTATGGTTGTGTTATGGCCCTACAAGTTTGGGCTTTTGAGACATTTCCAGTTCTCAAAGAGTTGGACATCGCGCGGATGGTAGACCCCTATGCATTCCCAAGGATTTTAAGATGGTCTTCATCAGCGAGGCCAAGTAGTGCAACTTTGAAAAAAAGTCTTTTCAGTAATAAAAATGTGAGTTGTACTGGTGTTTCATTGAATCAAATAAATGCTTGTACAATCATTCTGTGATCAAAACTCCTCCCCTCTCATAGTAGTGTTCCCGGTTTGCCTTTGGGGTCAGCTCCACATTAGTGTTCCCGTTTCCTTTTTACTCTCTATAATCCATGCACTATTTAAACAGTAAAAGGTTCAACTATTCCCCCAACTATTAAATGCTATCTTTATATTAATTTTTTATCTCTGCTGATATGCTCTGTATAATCCATGCAATAACACTACTAGCAAATTTAACTGGAGCCTTGACGCACCGGTTACGGTGTTACTATGTGACTGAGAGGTCGCATATTCTAGTCTTGGGAGCGGCCTCTTGTGAAAATGACAAGGGAAGGTTTGTTCCTTTTTCACCCTTGTGATGGGATCCTTCCCGGACCCTCGCCTTGCGGGGACGCCAATGTGCACCGGGCTGCCCTTTTAATGAAGTCATTATTATCTGAGCAATGTGCCCTTCAAACTACATTTTTACTCTCTGCCTCCCCTCTATACCTCATTAACCACAACTATTAAACTTGTGTGCCTATGCAAGTGTGAACACTACTATGAAATGGAAGGAGTATGTGTTTAAAGGTCCTATGTTCATGTTGCTTTGTTGTTAACATCTATAATTGCTATGTTCTTTGGTATGAATTGTAGTTTCTTTTCAGAAACATTGAGCCTTCAAGTAGTGATCTTCAGCATGAGAATGTTCTCCAAGCATGCCAACTGACCAAATTAAACGCTTCCATTTCCGGCGAAGCACCTCCGCGGTATTCGGAAACCACAGTTTCGGCTTTTGCTACAAGGAAGAAATCTAGAGCAAGGACAACAACTCTAACAATTATGGGGAATGATGAATCAACCCATGGTGGTGACGTTCCAACCACTGCCAGCCAGCAGTCCAGTGAAGGCACACATGTAGAATTGGATGCTAAGATTTCTTCTCTTGAAAAAGAATTGAAAAAAGTCAGGAATGATATGAGAAGAGTCGAGAAAAAAGTCAAGGGGCAAGACAAGCTGATTTCCCATTTGAAGGACATTATTGTCACCTCAAGGTGTTGTATCAATAGCAATGGGAGTGGATCGCAAAATCATTTCCCAAATCACCACATGCACAGTGCTACTGGCAATGCAACTAATAGATGTCATGCCCTGGGTGAGAATGGGACCACAAATTCTGGTGAGCCATTGCCATGTCCAAGTACTGGAGACACAAATGGAAACAGTGATGAGAGTTTTGGCATGGCTTGGGCACAGCAAGCTCTCAACGTTGACTATGACATTTTTGAGCCAAAGGTATTTTATGCTTAACACTTGATATTATTCACCTTTTACCTCAGATCTCGGTCATTGGTCACTGTCTAACATTGTATTAGTAATTAGTATATTATGGTTAACACTTGATAGTTGATACTTTTTCACCTTTTACCTCGGACCTCGGTTATTGGTCACTGTCTAACATTGTATCAGTTAACACATAGTTGTTATTAGGTTGGCCTATTAGCCTCTTAGGTGTGTATGATAAATCTGATCTGTTAGTTAGGTTGTAACATTACCTCATTTTTTATGGCAACTAAACTGCCCTATACTAAACTGAGATATGTGTAGTTAAAGCAATACTTGTGTAGTTGAAACATGTTTTATTAAAATGAAGTTTATAAATTCTTGTTAATGTTTTCTTCCATTTTTTAATTTAGTAATGTATACAAGTTCTCCCATTTTTCCATCATTTTCAATGGAGCCAATGACTCACCAAGTTTTGGCTTGGGAATATGATAGAATAAAACAAAATGACTCACTAAATTGTCTGCTCTTCTTAGTCCATGCAAATTTTAATGCGATTTTCATTATGGGCCATCCGAAAACAGTCTCTCAGTGCTTTAGTACAAGAGTAAGACAGTGTACATTCGACCCCCATCCCACCGCAGGTGGGAGCCTTTGCGGCACTGCGGTAATGTTGTTGCTATTCAAGTTCCCCCAATTCCTAACTGATCTGCTCGCCTTGTAAAACGAGTCATTGTCTCATCTAGTAACAATTGCTGAGTTCTCAGTTTTGTAAACCGTTACAACTAGGTAGCTTACTCATCATGCTCTAGGGTCAAGTAGCGAGTACTCGATGGTTGGTACTCAGTTAAATAACTCACCATTTGTAGTGGTGGAGAGGCCAAAGTGTTAAAAATGGACTCCGTTTATATGAAAACAGTGTTTAGACTCTCATGACCCTGCATTCCAGCACCGTCAATAAAATACAATCTGTATATTTTTTTTACATATCAATTCAGTAAAACATTAATTAAATTATTATAAGTAATGTTTTCCTTTTAATTTTTTCCATGAATAATCATGAAATAAAAGATACACATTTCGATGTAAAAATAAATAAACTTCATTAATTTTTTAACTTTTTTCGGTTAACAAAAAATGAACTTATTTCAAGTAAAGTTCGATTATGAAATATTCAGTTATTTGTGATGACTCCATGAATTAAAAATTTGTGTTTTGTGTTTCTTTTTTTGCCTAAAAACCCTAGCATTAAAACTTTAGATTTTTTTAAAAATACTTTTATATATGAAATATTGGTGTCCAATTAAAGATCATAAAATTTTACTTCCTCCGTCCCGAAAAGGTTGGTCAAAGTTGACTTTCACGTGGATTAATAAAGTAAAAACTGTGTGGTTGAAATTTGTGCAGAGGAGAGAGAATTAACTTTAACCATATATTCCTTACTTTAAATGGAAATGGCCAATCTTTTTGGGACATCCAAAAAAGGAAATTTGGCCAACCTTTTCGGGACGGAGGGAGTATAAATTTTGATATAATTTTTGTAAAATTTGGAATATAAATAAAAGAAATTACATACCTTTAAATGAAAAAGAGTTTTTTGAGCATGAGATGGTGCAAGTCCGGTTAAAAGAATAGCAGGGTCCCTCTTGGGCAGCAGCCAGTGCGCACCCTCCCAATAAACTTTTTCCTTCTTCTGGGCTGTCAATCCACCTTCTATATTTGAGACTCTCCCCTCCCCTTTCCATTTTTAATACCTTTAACTAGTCACCAATGTAAGAAATTAGGAGTCCAAAAGTTTCATCTTTAACATTTTGGACTCCTAATACCCAACCACTCCAAATGGTCTAATATGCTCCAATGGTCAAATCCTGAAGTGGATCATATGAATCTTATGACACTCACATTGGACCCATATGAACCCGATGAAACTTATTTCCACATGAATCCCAAAACATGCACATTTGTCCATCCCCCTGGGCTCCTTGGAAGTTTTATACTAACATGACACCTCAGTATCTTAAAATTTTCAATCACTGGTTCCCATGCTGATTAACTCATACGTTGGTCAGTGCCCAGTATTCATTCTAACGCTTCTAGGCAGACTGACATGTACTTCTTTTGTACTTCTTCCATTCCAAAATGTTCTTTCTTCTTTTCACTTTCCTTCCTGAGAGTTCTTATATTTCTTTAAAGGAAAGAATTATGTTGTTTAAATTGGTCTTATATTTCTAAATAAGTCTCAATCATACAATTTTACTTCCTAGAAAACATTGTGAAAGAATTAGGGTGGAGTTAACATCATATTTGGGGTCCATTATTGATTAGCTCCCCTTATTCCGTTTTTGGCTTGGGATTTATGTGCCTTTCAGTTTATATTACGGAATTAGGTTCATTTCTTGCACACGTAAAATATTCCGTTTTCTTGTAGTGATCCAAATCCAAGATTCTCCCAGAAGATCACATTTAATTTTTTTTATTTAATTTTCACATCAAACCATGTTGCGTGAAGCCACTGGCAGGGGCGGATCCAGGAATCTGATACGCCCTGAGCTGAATAGGAATTATACTAGGCTCAAATATCAGCGGGGTGGGCTAATTGTGAAAAATGAAAAAATTTACACTAAAAAAATTGAAAAATTTCTAAGTTGCCCTGGGCTTCAGCCTACCATAGCCTGTACATAGATCCTCCCCTGCGTGAAGGTGTCTATGTTGCTTGTACATCACATCAAAATGGGGACTTCATCCCTCTTCCAATCCAGGTCTCCGGAGTACAATTCTCAAAATAAATAATCCTTGTAACTTATATTTTTTTTATTGTGCAATATATTCAATAATTAGAGTTTCCTATAACCTGAATCTAATCTAGCCGTCAACAAATGAGAATCTATCATTGCATGATGAGATTGTGTTTTACCACTTCAGCTCCGTGTTTTTTAATGCAGCTATTACTTTCTTCTATTCTCTTTATTTCCCAATTACTGTGTTTTAGCATCAAAACATAACACTTGTTATCCATCCAGGGTGTTCAGGTGATAACTGATGAAGTGGTCATAGACGATGGCCCAGCAATACTGAATGATACACTGAAACGAAAAGCAATGTCAACATGCAGTCAAACCCCATGTTCCGATGCAAACTGTAAGAAGGGGCGTAACGTCCAATCTGTTTGTCTGTTTAGCCGGGGGCGGTTCAAAGTATTCAACTCGAAAACCGAGCGTACAAAGTTTTCATCTTATATCATGGATGGCATTGCTAAGAGACTTAGAAACCTTAGTCAACAACCACCTTAGAATTCACCTTGTCTTTGATCGGGATTAGATCATTACCATGCTTGCACATTTTTGTGATTGAACAAATACTCCCGTGTAAAATATTGAGTTGCAGTTACTGGGTCGCTCCTCATATTTGGCTTGCCTGTTTGAGGGTGTAGTTTTGTGTTTACAGTCCCAAGCTTGGACCTGATTAGGTCCTAGTTTGAATTTAGATGTTGGAAATATTTTCATTAGACCTGTAGTCATATTCAGGTTAGATCAACATACAGAAGTTTTGCAAGTCAAAGGTATTACAGTCACTATTTTCATCTAATAAATATAACATAAAAAATTGTCCCAAGTATGAGTAAATAGTTTGAAAATTCCAAAATAGTTGTGTTTTTTCCCTTAATAAGTGTTTTTAGATAAGTTTGGTAATGTGAAAAACACGATAATAATTTTTTGGGGGGATTTGACTTTGCACCCCACTTTTTGGTTGATATTTGACTTTGCAACTCATTTTCAAAAAACAATGACTTTGCACCCCAACACATACCATTTTGTGAAGAAAAAGTTCTAAATGTGGTGCAAAGTCAAGGGAATTTTAAATGGAACGGGGTAGGCATGGACTCGGGCCGGGTGGCCCGACCTAGAACCGGCCCGACACGATTTGGAACCCGCCCGGCACGATTTGGAACCGGCCCGAATCGGTGGCCCGGCCAAGGACCGGTCCGGGAAGGCTCGGCCCGAGGTCTTTACGGTGCGGGCTTGGGTCACCCAAAAGATGAGCGGCGGAGGCTGGCTGCCGGAGATATGGTGGTGGACGGCGATGGCTAGAGGATGTTGTCGAGCCAGTGACCAGAGATAGTGGGCGGTGCCGGTGGTCAAAGATTGGCAGCGGTCGAACCATGTAATTGTAACTAATTGGGTTTGGTAACTGAAACTAATCGGGTCGGTCGAGTAATTGTAACTAATTCAATCGTGTAATTGTAACTGATGCGATTTGAGAACTTTGATTGGTCGAATTTGGTAACCGTAACTAATCGGGTTAGGTAACTATTACTAATCGGATTGGGTAACGGTAACTGGTTAGATCGGGTAACTGTAACAAATCGAATTGGGTAATTGTAATCAGTGTTCTAAAAGGCGCTAGGCACTAGTCAGGCGGTGACTGGCCGCCTAGCGTGGTAGCGCCTAGCCTGCCTAGGCGCCGACCAGGGCGCCTAGGTATTTTCCTTTATTTCTTTGTTTTTTTTATTTTCATTGAAATTTAAATATATTACCAATAATTTTATATTATTTTGAAAATAGAAATAGCTCATATAATCATTAGATATTATGGTTTATGTATAAAAATTATAAATAATAAAATAATTGATAGATAAATGTAGAGATTTATATATTTTTTGTCTCTAAAAATGTATATATACACTCTAAAAAGTTATAAATATGTCAAAATTATTTTTTATCGTAGTAATATGAAGCTAAACTATATAGAAATAGAATGCTTATTGATCAAACGTGGTTTTAAGTCAAAACGGGGAAAAAAAGTTGAATCGGGGAAAAAATTAATCCGGACCGCCTAGGCACCGCCTAGCCCGCCCAGGAGCCCGCCTAGCCCGCCTAGGCGCCCCGACCGATTTTTTCGACTGATTACACCAAAATCGGGGCGCCCAACCACCGCCTAGCGCCTAGGCGGCGCCTAGCCCGATTTTAGATCCATGATTGTAACTAATCGGGTTAGGTACTGGTCGGGTGTAACTGTAACTGGTAGACGATGGTCATTGTGGCGGTGGTCACTGCACGGGAATCACTATAAAAATTGATCACCGAGCGGATGTCACTTTGTCAATTGGTCACTGGACAAAAGTTACTGCACATTTGGTCACTGTGATGCAGGTCATTGGTGGGACGTATTAATTTTTTGTCACTGGATGAATTTTGTAACTATGTCATTGGTAAGTGTAACATTGGTCACTGCACATTTGGTCACTGTGAGTCTGTGACGGGTTACTGTGGCAGGCCAGTGGGTTTGGGCTTAGTAAGGGTGTAACAGTCCCTTAAGTATTATTTAGTCTTATTTTTGGAACTTAATAAAAAAGTCTCTTTTTTTGTCCAAATGCTGTTAATTAGTATTATTTGAGGACAATAAACATATATTTATTTCAAAGAATCCATGTACGAAGTATTAGTAAATAAACTAGTTTCTTTAAGACGTGCTTATTTAGAGTCATTTAAGATTTCCAAACGTAATTGTATCATACTTGCAAGTTGCAAGTAGTTTGTATGTAGAAATTTTAACTCTCAATTTGATGATATCATCAATATTGTTTACTCATTAGTCATTTCTCCCACCGTTATATTATGTTGTAGGAGATGCAAGGTACACAAATTAATGTGGAATTTCATAGTTAATTTTGCGTAAATATGGCCAAATAGGATATTATAGTGGTGGACCGGGTCACCCGTCCGGGTGCCGGTTCGGGCCGGGTCACCCGTCCGGGTCATGGGTTGGGCCACCCACCGGGCCTGGCCAGGGCAGTTTATTTATTTTTTTAATACTGTATAGTTTATACAAATTCTTTTTAAAAACAAAGTTCAAGTGCATTTATTTGAAATAAGAACTACTCCCTCCGTCCTATTTATATTGTCCCGTTTTACCTTTTCGGGAAGTCCCACTTAAATTGTCTCATACCATATTTGGCAAAGTTTGTGTGGCTCTAAATCATTCTTACTTTATTCTTATTTTATCAATTAATATCAACCACACAAACCCACTTTTCTTAATAATCGTGCCACCCTCTTCCATCCCAATATAAATGGGACGGAGGTAGTACATTTGAGAATTGAGAAAAAATTACAATATGAAATACATTTTCTAATAAATATCAATCGGAATTTCCGCCACCGTTGGTTGTTGTTTTGCCTTTGTCACAAGACTTAATATGTCTTCTGGGCATCCCGTATCCGTGTGAACGTCCCAAGCTACACTCTTTCTTGCACTACATGCAAGTTGCCCACCACATCATGGTCTTCGGATCCTTCCACATATCAAAATTGTTTTGCATAAGGGAAGATTTACTTTCCATCTTTAAAATGGTAGATTGGTAGCTGTATAAGTAGGAGAATAAGAGAAGATGAAGATGGAGAAGAGTTGAAGAAGAGGTGCAGGAAAATGTTAGAAAATAGGTGTATTTATACGGAGTAGAACTTTTTTACTATAAGATGAGTAATACACTTATATTTAATACTTTAATATATAAAGTGTATATTAAGTAGATGTAGAATGTATGTATTAAGTAGATATAAGTAGATAATTAGTAGAGATTAAGTAGATAAGAAATATAAAAAATATAGTATATGTATTTATAAGTAGATAATTAATACTCCGTATATAAGTAGATATAATAATTGTATAAGAATTAAATAGTAAAATATAATGGAGATTGGAGAATAAGAGAATAAGTAGATAAGAAATATAAGTAGAGAAGTAGATAATAGTATATATTAAGTACTAGTATATACTAATAGTAGATAAAGTATATTTAATACATTAATATATAAAGTATATATTAAGTAGATGTAGTATGTATGTATTAAGTAGATAATAAGTAGAGATTAAGTAGATAAGAAATATAAGTAATATAGTATATGTATTTATAAGTAGATAATATATAAGTAGATATAATAATTGTATAAGTATTAAATAGTAAAATAAAATATAATGGAGAATAAGAGAATTTGGGAAGATGAAGATGGAGATGAGTAGAGAGTAGAGTAGGATTTAGGAAGAGTTGAAGAAGAGGTGTGAAAAAATGTTTAAAATTAGGAGTATTTATAGGATTTTTTTAACCACCCAAAAGCCCCGAACCCCCTGGTACCCACCCAACGGCTATATAGCTGTTTGGGATGTGGGTCAAGAGCCAAACGGCTCTTTAGATCTGAAAAGGGAAAAAAAATTAAAAATATGACTGTTAGGCCCGGACCCGGGCCCAACCCGGCCGGGTCGCCAAAACTAAGAACCGAGCCCGAACCCCCCCAGTTCGGGCAAGGACCCGGACCCGGACGGCCGGTCCCGCACAGTAGCGGGCCGGGCCGGTCCACGGGTCGGGTGGCCTGACCCAAATCCAACCTAGCCAGGCCTAGGCCCGGAACCAATTTCCCATTCCGGGCCGGTCCCGCACAGTAGCGGACCAGGCCGGTTCTCGGGTCGGTCCGGGTCCATGGCTAGGATATTATGGTGAAAAATATTTGGGACAAATCAAAATGAAAATATGAAATGAACGGGATATTGGTATCATAGGTTTAGAAATTGCTCAATACAAGATTAAAATGCACACAAAGCTCAAAAATAGAACTAAGAAAGTAAGAATATTTTATTTCTTAAATGAGATTTATTTAGTCTTACTAAAATAATAGATTAATTAAAACTTCTCAAAATATAAGTCCTGTTACAACCTCTGGGGGTTTGGGAACCGAAATATCACCCACCCCTACTATTCTATAGGGTACTATAAAATGAAGTAACAATTCACCAAGCATTGAAGGCTTGAAGCCAATCTTTAATACTCAGCAGGTCGTACATAAGCATGCAAAGAAGACAAGGGTGAGAAGGAAATAATTTGCCAGTCTTATCGACTTGTTACAAAGTGTTTACTATTAGAGAAAAAATAGGGTTGGCTAAAGAATGGGTATTTATACATGCTCCTCTAGTAGGTAGGCTGCAATGGTGGTTGATCTCTTTCCTTACATAAAACGCCGCAGGGCCCCATATCTACCTGTGTCTCTATCTCACTCACTCTTTTTGCGTTGTAACAGCATACATATTTTACAGGTCGGTAGAGGGTAATATAAAAATATCTGCAAACAAATGGATGGACATTTTATATGTTCTTACACCCAGCGAGTGAGTCCTCAAAAGACAGCATTCCAGAGGGTGTTATCGCCTTCCCCACATCGGTGGTGAACCTCCTTCATCTTCTCAACCGAGTTGCAAATGCCGCTGCATCTCCAGTCAAAGGAAGCAACACATATGTTCCCCGCTTGTGCCTTCCATTCACAGTCTGGCAGGCAAAATTGAGCCATTGTATTAGAAATAGTTATTACTTGGTTTGGTTTTGGTTTGGCATTTCCCAAAAAGAAACCTTAATCGAACTTATTGAAATAATAGAAAAGTTAGAGATGGTGTTGATGTTTAAAAAAACTGAATAATGGATCTAACCAGGCGGAGTTCCACAGCACAATCTTCGGTCATCAATATGCTCAACATCCAATCCGAGGAACCATGACCCCAAAGAAACATCCTCATTAGCATATTTGTGAAGCACGTTCCTAAGAAAAACTAATATTTTCAGATTCCCC